CCGCGCGCGCCGGGGGGGGGCGGGGCGCACCCGCGCGCCTGCGCCCGCCGGGGCCGCTCCGCGCGTGCGCGCCGGGCCCGGCAGCGGCCCCTGAGCCGCGGGTGCCTCCGTGACAGTCACAGGAACATCACAGTCACGGAAACATCGCGCTCACGGAGCCTGGCAGACACCCCAGCACAGCCTGTTACCGAACACCTCCCCGTCTGCTTAACCGTGGCACTCAGTGCCGCGACCAGCCTTGTCTTAAACACTTCAGGGATGGAGACTCTGCCACCTCCCTGGGCTCCTCCAATGTCTGAGCCCCCTTTCTGTGGAGAAATGTCGATCCTAAACCTCCCCTGGCACAGGTCCTATCATCGCGGATTTCCTCATTCCCCTGTGCCTAAGTCACAGAATACCAGGGTTGCTGAGGTTGGGAAAGACTTGTGAGATCACCGAGTCCAAGCTGTTCCCTGTGCCTGCCTTGTCACCAGCCCAGAGCACTGAGTGCCATGTCCAGGCCTTCCTTGGACACCAGGGATGGGGACTCCAAACCTCCCTGGGCAGCCTCTTCCAATGTCTTATCACCCGTTCCATGAAGAATTACTTCCAGTTGCCCAATCTAAACCTACCTTGGCAAAGCTTAAGAATGTGTCCACTTGTGTCACAGTCCTTAGTGCCCCGGTGTCCCCAGTGCCTCAGTGTGCCTGTGTTGACAGGGATGTGGAAGAACTTTAGTGAACTTTATGGTCCCTTCCAACCCAAACGTTTCTGTGATTCCATGGTGTCGACTTGCTGTGGTGCCAGGCACAGCCAGTCGTGGTGGTTGGACAGGGGCCTTGTGCTGCCACACTTTTATCCCTCAGGGGTTGGAGGATGAGCAGCAGGACGTGTCCTTGGCTGTGCTGTCCCCAGCCCTGGCCCCTGCCCTCTTAGCCTGGGCTTTCTCATTCTGTGGATAAGATCACACATAACTCATCTACAGTAGTGCTGTGTCCTCCCAACCAGAGTCCTAAAGCAGCTCACATGTTAGAGTAACACTGCATTTTCATGTTTCTTCCCTTTTTTCTGACATAGGTCTTACAAAACACGTCCATGCTTTATTTAAAACACGTGGCTGATCTGGCTGCAGTCTGGAGTCTCATTTACATCAATAAAGCAGGATGGGATGCATAAACCTGCAGTGTTGTGGTCATGGGTTATTATGTTATTAGGTTACTGAGGGCTGTCTTAATTTGTCCCTAATAAAGGGCTGCATTTTATAGGTAGGGCTGTAATCCAATCCTACAAATGCTGTACTTAGTGGAGAGGGAAGCAATTATGCTGCAAGTCACGGATATTTAAAAGTAGTTTTACAAGCTGGTCTGTACATTACACTCACCCAAGCATCAGCCTCATCTACTGCACTTGGAATGAGTGGTTGTAACTGGTTTGGCCTGTGTAGGAAAGAGGCACCAACCTACAAATTCACATTATTAAAGGTTATTGCTTGATGTGCATCCAGTATCTCCACATAGCATGTGAGTTGAGGGGTTAGCTGGTTGGTTGATTTCTTTCCATTTGGGATGTGCAAAAAATGGTGAGCTTTTGGCAGCTTTGGAAAATGAATGAGATGACTTCAGTTCAAGTTTCTAAAGCTGGAGGAATAGTGTCACTACTGCAGTCTTGTTTTATTTATGTCTATAGTAGTTTTCTTACTATAATTCCAGTTTTGTCTCAGATTTATATTGGCACTGAGACTTGTTATTTTTGCCACTGGAAATCTGTGGAGGGAACAAAAAAAAAGATAAATTGAGAGTGTGCTGATTTTCTTGTACCTCTTACAGATGGAGAGACTGAAACCGAAATAGTCTTTGTAAGGTGGCTTTTTTCTAGGCAAATTACTTTTTGGAGCTGAAGTTAAAAAAAGAAAACTGTCAGAAACTGATTGTTTCCTTTTATCACCCTGTGTTAATCCCTGACAGTTTTAGTTTTGGTTATACCATAAATATTTTTATACTTCGTTACTTCCTAGTGGCTTATACTCTTGAGTTAATTGATTTATTTATTATTTATTTGACATCCAAGACTAGTTTCTATTGCTGTTTGAAGTGACTATGGGTTTGTGTCCTATTTTTCAAATTAGTTATTATTAGTATAAAGATTTACCTTGTAAATGTTTAATTGATTCAGCAATCCAAACATTTAAGGACTTTTGGAGACTAAGATCATACTGCTGTACGTTGTAGGCAGAAATTATTTTTCCTTCTTATGCTCCTTTTTTTTTCCCTTTGTTTTTCCCCCCAGATCTCTCAAATAATTGCAGAACATCTCAGTAACTCCTGAATTATTTGACTACATTATTTCCCCCATTTCCTTATAGTCGTTCTTTCTTTTGTGGCACTCGTTGACATCGAGTTGTTTGCATTAGTTGCTAAAAAGGAATGACCTGGCTTCACCAGGTCTCCCTGGAGATATTCCCGATTTTGGAATGTTGGATGAAGTATCTGGGGTGCAGCAGACACTGTGGGATCATGCACTGAGTGCCTTTCCATGAGGCAAACCACGGCTTCAGGAGCAAACTCTGCTGGAGGGCTGGAGCTCTCCCTTCATTCTCGTTCTCCCCAGAGAGGGGATGGAAGGGAAATACTGGGGAGAAGCTGCTCAAACACTAAAGAAGCCTGAAAACGTTCAGCTGTGAGAACAACCCCCAGTGTCATCTGCTGAGGAGCTGGTGGCAGTCACAGGGTATCCATGGAATTGTCCTTGGGACAAGCTGAAGGCCATGGAGTTCCCATCTCTGTCCTTATCAGTCACCACCTTGGGATCTCCCAGTGTCCCCAGTGCCTGACACCACTTGGACTCCATTTACACCTCCCAAACCATGACACAGCAGAGGGATCATACAATGAGCAGGTTTTTAAATTAACATTCAGTTCAGAAAGGCAGTGAAAACATCTTTACATTGTTGGGTTCACAGCAGGCTGAGGGCTGGGAGACCATGGGAGTGGAGAGTTACCAGTGTTGGTTGGCCTAGAAAAGTAGCAGGAGCGAGGGAAACCTTGGAAAACCTGCTTTCTCAGCTGTCATAGGTTATTTTCTGCACTGCCAGAGACACCAACACACTTGACCAAGGCTGCTTTATTTTATTAGAGCAGGCAGATGTTGAATCCTTAAATACAGCTTTGCCACCTCTGTCTTTTATTAAAGTGAAAATTCAACTTACATTCATGGAATTTGTTTGCGTAATGCTTTACCTGATTTTTATGAAATTTCACAGAGTTCTTTCCTGTAACAAACTCTCTTTTCAGTGCCTGTGTGTTGCCAACCAGCTGGACACCCGGCTTCCCAAAAGCTCACATGCATGTTTGCTAAGCTTGGCAAGTCAAGATCAAAATGAAATTATGATAAAAATCCATGTGGATTTCTAACTTGGAATCAGAAGTTCAAGACAAAGGTGAGAAATCCTGAAGAGACTGGAGTGCTCTGTAGGTGCACAGATTGGGAAAAGAAGTTTATTTCCTTGGAAGTTGCTGAGGTTGTTTGAATAATAGTCTGTGATGATGGTGTGTGACCTGCTGATTCCTTTCATACTGATGTTCAGTAATTGTAGCACTTTGCAAGTTACTTCCTTGAAGAGAGGTGTTGAAGTGTTAAAGAAAATGTAAGAGTTCATATCTTATTCTAGTTATGAAAACTGATGCTGAACATGTGATACTTCCCACAAAAATAATCAGTGTAATCCTTTGATGAACGTATCCTGTGTTAATTTGTCTCAGGGACAGTAACATTATGTTCTTTCAGGTTTGAATACTCAGTGTAGGTAAATTCCCATGTGACAGGCATGGGAAATGAGCAGAACTTGTTGCCTGTGCAGGTGGGATATGCAGAGACAGCTCTTCCTGGATTAATGGGATGGCTCTGCACTCTGTGGTTTTCTAGGGGAGCTCCCAAACATCTATCCATTGGTTTATTCAACACAGGGTACTGCTTTAGATACTCAGAATCAGCACTTCAGAGCTGCTGATAGCAAATTGATTTCCATCTGCACTTTAGGGGTGACATCAGAGAGCTTTAAACCTACCAGAGACAGAATATTGCCAGATGTCCTTCACACTGCTGTGAAATCAGTGGAAAATGGTACAGAACTGTCTGTTGACTGAGGATTTGATATATCCAAGACACAAAAAGCTTTAATAAATCTCACCTGCTGATTTGAAGGTTTAGATGTTGGAATGTAAACTGCAGTTATGACTCAGTTCATAATTCTCTGACTGGAGGATCCTGTAATCTGTTTATTTAAATCAGTTTCTAATGGTCTCTGCAGGGAGCCTTTGAGCTCTGCTTTACTGGATTCAAAGCAGAGGCTACCAAGGAATCTTACCAGGGCTTTGGTTGGCAGGTGTAGTCCACGAGTGATTAAAACCCACTGCAAAAATGAGTTATTAAAGCAGAGCATGACCTCTCCTGAGCTTAGCTCGGCCAAGCCTGTCATGCAATACTCAAGGGTTTATCTGAAGTTCAAGTGATTTAATCAAAATGCTCCACCCTGTCTTTATCTAAATTACAGATGTCAAGTGCAACAATGAAAGTATTTTAACACAGAAGTGACCTTGGTTACAGAAATCCACATAATTAAAAAATGTGTCAAGGACCTGACACAGGTCTTCCCTCGCAGGTCATCAGGTCTGGCTTTAAAAATTTATCTTGCCATTGGAAGAGTCTTCAGTGTAGTTGGTGAATTGTTTGGAGAACATGATGTGATGAGCCTGTGTATGGAAACACTGGGTCTGGAAAGATGGAAGTTCCAGAATTATTTCTGATGAGGTCATTTGTGAGAACTGAGCTCCACTAAATAAAACAGGAGCACTGGTACTGAAAGAGGAGGAGACAGGAGTGGAAGCCGGGTCCTGCCAATCGTGCAGGAGGAAAAAGAATCACAAAATTAACTCTTCTGTGTTCTTCAAAGTGACGTGAATCAGTCAGTGACCTCGTCATTGTGTATCCACATGGGAGATCTGGAGGCAGTTCTCAACATGAGAAAGTAGATTATTATTAACTTTATTGATTTCTTAATGGACTAATAATTGTCTCCTCTGTTGCTTGCTATAAATTTCTTTAAGGAGGAGATTATTCAGAGCAAGAGTCTTTGGCCAGCTCTAGCTGTGACTGAATAAATGTTCTTGGGGAGGCAGAAATTGGGCAAATCTGACTTGTAATGCAACTGGTGCTGCATTTAATAATGCACTGGATTGAGAGGGTGAATAAGAGTTGAGAACAGAGGTAAAAAATGTGATGGAAAAACCATCTTCTATTTATTTTATCTGTTATTTCAAAGAAACAGTAATTTTTACAAATTGGTAGTTACTGATTTTTCTATTGCCTGTTGGCATAGAGAGGAAAGTAAACTGAAGTCAAAGCTCTGGCCTACAAACGTTTTACTCTGAATTCTAAATATCAATTCTAAATTCTAAATATTAGTCTCTTTTTTTATACAGGCCTCTTGAACTCTTAACATCCATTACCATTACATAGTATAACCATCTTGAAGAGTAAAGTGAAAGCAGTTGGATGTCTGCTTATGCTTTTGAGCCCTTCATAATTTTATTTGCTCTATATTAGAAGCAGTTCTTGTGCAAAGATTAGGTAGATCACCCCTCTCCTCCTGTCCATTCAGAATTTTCAAAAATGCTTGGCTACAAAGGGTTCCCTCATCCTCTTTATTTTCCTACTGGATGATGGCAGGTTTCTTGTCCCTTGGTTCATTCTGTTTCATTGTGATGCATAATTAATAATGTACTGCATTAAAAATAACTTGTGGCTGGTGATGTTTTTTTGCTTCCCAAGGCACCACGTTGGATGCAGGTTGTTCCTGGCTGGCCCTTGTGTTGTCTCAGCTTGTGTCCTCCTGTCTGAGACAGGAAAAGGCCCTGTCTCAGAAATCTGTGATGATGGAGCTCTTCCTTTCTGATAGATATCAGAAAACCCAGAGGATTGCATTCTTTGCCTGTGTAGATTGTGTAACAAGAGCATCAAGCTGCAGTTTTCCATTAGGACTTTGTTGTGGGCTTGGTAATATTGATAATATTGGCAATAATGTTTGCCTTTCCCAAGCCAGGCCATGAATTTTCACACATAACAAAGCAAAGTCTGGTTTAATGTGTTCATCAAAGTGCTGCCCTGTCCAGGCCACCTCCTGTGTCCTCACAGGGAAACTCAGGGGAACCCAGTGCTGGGAGTGATAGCATAGGGTTAAAATGTTTCTAAAATCTTGGGAATTGCATGCAATAGATTCAGGGGGTGGAAAGGAAGGTTGGGTCTGGTAGGCCTGGGAAAGGGAACTGGGCCCTGGGAATGAATATTGAGCTTTGTCTTTTCTAGATCATGTGAAGCTACACCTGGGTAATCATCATATGATAAATGATCTGGTTGTTAAATGTAATGATTGTTTGGTAATTGAATATGATTATTGTTTAATTGTAACAAGAATCATGAGAAAGGATATTTGGGGGGCTTAATGAAAATTACAAGAATTCATACTTGGATAAGATCAATGTATACAATAGAAAAATATGAGTACAATAATTAATATATAGTTATATAATGAAAAGGGTGTAAGAACATGTTCATCTGGGATCCTTGTCAGAGTCAGATTTGGGTCTGCAACCCTGATCCCAGAGCTCTTCTATAAAAGCACCTGCATATAATCATTCTGGGATTATGTGTTCCAACACTAACAGAAGGACCAGCTCTTGAGAAGTGCAGGAATTGCCGAAGTTGGAGACAGTGGAAACTTTACTCGTGTCAGTCACCTTTATTTTATACCAGATTGTGTCTGGTTTTTTGTTGTTAAGGGTGGGAAACAGACCTGCCAATATTGGAGCTGCTGATGTTTCTCTGTTTTGCCTAATGCCTTTATTTCATTTATTTTTTTAAGGGAGAAACTTTTTCTTTCAAACTAGAGCCTCACGGACTTAGCAATATCATGGAATATTTATTTATTTCTGCAAAGCAGTCACTGTTGTTCCAAACATCACCTGTTCAGCTTGAGTCTGTCACAGCACTGATTGCAGGAGGCTTTCTTGGAAAGTCAGGAAGAGTGTTGGTAAAAGATTCTGTAGAGAAAACATGTCAATCCTCAGCGTTATCACAGGCACAAATGAGAGCCTGTGCCTCCTGCAAGTGTTACAGTTTCCATTGCAGCTTTCAGAGCATCTCCTTTTCCTTTCAGATGAATCTGCGTTCTGTATTTACTGTAGAACAACAAAGGATATTACAGCGTTACTATGAAAATGGAATGACAAATCAAAGTAAAAATTGCTTTCAGCTCATATTACAGTGTGCACAAGAAACTAAACTGGATTTCAGCGTGGTCAGGGTAAGTACTGAGGCCTTCCAAATTTTTTAAGCATACACATTCATTGCTTTACATAAAATATACAGAAGTCTGGAGTCTCTAAGTTTTTCATTGTCTTAAATCAGACTTCAGTGTGCATGTGTGACATTCATTTTTACCCAGGGAGCCTGTTTAAGGTTTGTTTTCACTGAAATATGTTCACATGACTGTTGAATTTAGCAGGGGCTTGGATAGCACAAGGAGTGATTTTTGTTCTTTGTCCTTTGTTGGGATTTTTTAAATTATTATTCATAAAATTATAGGTTAGTTTGCCCTATGGAAACTTTGCATAATGTATTGTATCAAAGCAAGGTCACGTTATCAAGAAACTATTTAAAAGCTAAATAAATTCCTATAAATTAATATCTTTAGAGGAATCAATTGTGAAACTATTTCTTTTGAGGCACTCTTGTCACACTTGTATTCCACATCACAATCATAAATATTGTGGTCCCTTGTTATTTACAGTGAGGACCTTCTTTTCCTATTAAACAAGAATGTCCCAGTGCTGACAGGAGCTCTTCAGAGTCTGTGAATTCCACGGGAAGGGAAATAATAATCCCTTTGTGAAACACTAGACAACAAAATGGCTGTTGTCTGAGAGCAGAAATAGAAATCCTGGGGCATTAGATGGAAAAGTAACAAAGGGTAGTGGAGCTCCCAGGAGCTGCTGTGACACTGGGTAGGAGGAGGAGCAAGAGGGACCAGTCTGGGTTGGTTTTTAGTTGCTTTAACAGTGGCACATTGACAATAAGAGCCCTGCTCCCAAATTCTTACCTGGATTCCCCTCCCTCAGAACACTCTGGAAACATTAAAAGTTTCTTTCTCAGCTGGAGGTGGTAGAAGCTGTGAAAGTCAGCCAGGGATTCGGGCTCCTGGGGCAGGCAGGCAGGCAGTTGTAACAGGAATCTGGATGCTGATGCTGCAGCCAGGGCTGGTTTGCTATTTTTGTGCTGATTGAATGTCCTAGAGGAGGCAGCCCAGCTCCCCTTTCCTTGCACTTCTCTCCATCTTCATGTTTCCTTTCCCCTCTCCATTTCTCTTCCTGCAATCAAGTGCCATTCCTTCTGTTTTCTTCCCTTTCTGAGCCCTGATTTGCAGCACTTAAACTTCTTCTTACTTAGGAAGTGCAATGGATACAGATCCAGTCATATTTTAGCACCCCTCATTTCTACTTCTCCTAATTGCCCCCTGTTTTCCTTTTTTTTCCTACAAAACTCTTGGTCATTGATTAGTTCTTTGCAAAACGATACTTGAGTTCCAGCTGGCACTTGCAGATAGGATTATAACAGGCACATGAATTCCCTAAATACAATTGGTCAGGAGAATGGGACTCTCAGCAGAGGCAAAGCTGACCAGTAACTGACATTTTACTGCATGTTACAAACTGTGCCTCAAATTGGACATTTTGTAAAATTTGACAAAAAAATTAAGAGTGGGATTGTCGATGGCAGGGATGTTTTGTTTCCCTGTAGGAAATTGGTCACAGTAGTGTCAATGAAATAAATCTTGAGGGTAACTTCAAGACAGGAGGCACGAGAGTCTCGGGATTTTTGAGAAGCTGGGGCTTTGGAATTGAGGCTGGGGTTGTCCTGTGTGTATGAGTTATGGATCCCAAGGAGGAGAGGCCTGGATTTCTACCCTGTATTGTTCAGGCCTGTATTTCCACCCTGTCATGTGCACTGCATAATCAGTGCATGATTTACATATTTGTAAACTTAGATCTCAACTCGAACACTTAACGTGTCATCAGATCTGCTTAAAAATGGAATTGCTAATTTTTTTCTGCCTCTTTGACGCCTTGTTTTGTGTTTGCTGTCGTTGCTGTCGTGCTTTGCAGACGTGGGTTGGCAACAAGCGGCGGAAGATGAGCAGCAAGAGCGCCGTGGAATCTGGGGGCACCCCCCCAGGGACTGCCCCTGCCACTCCCTCCGTGCCCCCGGAAGCAGCAGTGAGAAATGTGGTAAATATTGCTCGATCCCAAAGCCAGCAATCCTCTTGGACCTCTTCAAACAACGACGTGATAGTGACTGGTATTTACAGCCCTGCCAGCTCCTCGGGCCGGCCCGGAGCCGCCAAGCACATGAACACCTCCATGGCAGAGCTCCACAAAACCTCCATCCCACGGCTCCCGGGCAAGAGCGACGCAGACTTCCAGCAGCAGCACATCCCTCTGGGACGGCAAGTACCCCACTGTAAAAACGCTTCCCTCTTAGTGGGGGAAAAGACCATTATCCTATCCAGGCAAACGAGCGTGCTCAATTCTGCCAACTCCATCTACAGCCACACCAAGAAAGGCTCCTCGGTGCAGACGGCGGAGCTGGTGTTACCTCAGAAACCCATGATTTGCCACAGGCCCTGCAAGGCCGAGCCCTTGGGGTGCCAGCGCTTGCACAAACCCGAGCACGGGGCCCTGGTGTCTCACGTGCCCCCGGGGCCGAGGGCTCACCCCAGGGACCCGGCCTGTGGCACCCAGAACCTGGAGATCCGCGAGGTGTTCTCGCTGGCCGTCACCGACCAGCCCCAGCGCCTGGTGGGCGGCACGGCACAGAAACATCCCCATCCCTCCCCGGAGGGCGGCTGCCTGTCCATAGCCATGGAGACGGGCGACGTGGATGATGAGTACGCCCGTGAGGAGGAGCTGGCCTCCATGGGAGCGCAGATCCAGAGCTACTCCAGATACTGTGAGGGCAGCGGCTCCGGCCGCGGGGACAACCAAAGCACGGCCGGGCCGGGCCGCAGTGGGGGCTGTGGGGCACAGCTGGGCAGTGCCAGGGAGGTGCCCGACAATCTCCTGTACCACAGCAGAGAGTTCCACCTGCCCGCACGGACCTCATTGCACACAACATCCAGCACGATTTATAACACCGCCAGCGCAGCCAGAAGTACCTTTTCTCCTCATTTTACGTCTTCGAGTCAACTGAGGCTGTCACAAAACCAAAATAATTACCAGGTAATCCATCAGTTTATCTCTGTCTCCAGACCTCAGAGCCGAGGTTGTAGATCAATGCTGTTTCCTTGCAGAGTTGGTAGCTATTGAGCAGTAGGCTCACCTTTCTGCAGGCTGTGCTCCTGTTATGCCTTTCAGTGGAGATAATTCCTTCTCAAACCCAGTGCAGGCAGCACTGCAGTGTGGTAGCACTTCTGCCTGTCCAGCTGAGCCCCTGGTAGCCATATATAGAAGATCAGTGAGGATTTCATGGATTCCATGGCTAAATTTTAGCTGCAGGAGAGTCATACCTATGAGCTGGTGGTTGCTCAAGCCTGTGTTGTCCTGCCCTGGCTTTCCAGCAGGTCCCTGGGTGTTCCCCTGTGAGCACAAGTCACACATGGCACAAGGCGTGTTTTCATGGTGACATTTGTGCATTTGCTCACCCCATTGATGTCAGCTTGGAATCCTGTACCCCTGTGCAGGTGGCAGTCTCTGGACCTGTGTTCTGTCAGGGATTAGGGTCCCCTCTCAGGGAGTTAACTCAGCTCCTTTCCCACAACCTCTAATTCAAATTATCAGTTTTACACTCAATCCCTTTATTCCTCTTCCTATACTAAAATCCCTTAAGTGATACTGAGGGGAAATTAAATGTAGATCATTGTAGAACTAAAAGATATTTAGGAGAAACTGCAACACTTGACACATTTTTTTAGTTTTTGGTATCACAAGGGGAGAGATACTTGTACAGGAAACATCCAAATTGGTATTTTTCATGGATTTTACACCAGCTGGCATGACATAGCCTGGAGACACTGAGGTAAAAGTCTTTTAAGGCTGACAGGATGTGATTGTGTGTGTCACCTGCATGCATTTGCCTGTTATTACACTGCCTTTTTAGTTTATCCTGAAAATAAACCGTGTCGACAGCATATCAGCTTTTCCTGCGCTTTGCTCACCAGGATAGAGAACAAGACTTTGTGAGCCGTGTTTTTTTTTAGGTTTTTTTAGTTTTTCTTTTCCTTTTTCCTGACTCGATCCTATCTCATGTGACCATTTAAAAGAAAGCTTCTGAGTCCAAGTCAGTGCCATTTTTCACCTGAGTTATTACTTTTCTGGGTAAACCAGAGGCTTGATGAACAGAGAATTCTGTGGAGAAGATGGCACATCAGATGAGCTGTTCTGTCCTTTACTCTCACAGTCTGTCAGTATTTGCTGTTACTTTTCTTACTTGGTTATAGAATTCCTGAAATGCTTTTCACTTTTACCATCCCAGTTTCACAGAAGAAAAGCTGTAAATATGCAGAACAGTCCAATAAAGGGTTGGTAAAAGTGCTTATGGTTGAGTTAAGGACATTTTTTTAAGTTTCGTTAAGAGAAATCTTTTACTGGTACCTCCATCAGCTGTGTGCTCATGGTGCTTTATTTCACTCTTTAAAAAGCATCAGAGAGGTTGATTTCTTCTATTTTAAATTCTGTTAAAATGAAATTCAGAATAACTTTATTTTGGTGTTTTATGGGGTAGGTATTGAGTTTTTTTGAAGAGCTAGAACAGTTGATGGTAGGTGATATTTTATCTGTCTATGTGGTGTTTTATGGATCAGAATGAGATCTCTGGAGCTTTGGTTTTTTGTTTTTTTTCTTACTTCCCCCTGTTGCAACAACACACCTGTTTTTTTTCATAAGTGAGAAATTATCTGAACCCCAGCTGACCTCCCTGCCTGTCTCATACACCCAATTCTTTGGATTTGAAGTGTGGATGGAGGGAGCTTCTGTTTCCTGTCATATCCCTTTTCATTCAAGAGTTTTAAATCTTGGAAAAGCTGAGCAGGATGCTGTTAATTCCCTCATTGCTCACTGTGAGCTCCTGAGGTGACACTTCTGGGTATTAGAGACTTTCTAAGGTGCTGTCTTGAATCCTTTTAGGCTTGTATAGGATGATATTTCATTTTTTGTAGTCAGTTTATGTTAATTTTATTGCCCATGTTTAGCTAATTTATCCATCAGCACAGAGATGAAAATCCTTAAACTTCTTGAATTTAAAAATAGAAAATCTTCTTGAATTTAAAAATAGATTAAACCTGAGCTAAATGATTATTGGAGTAGTTGAACATCCAAGCAGATGCTTCTTCAAAGTCAGGACTGTGTGATTCATGTTTTGATGAAGTAATTACTGTCATATATTGGTGGGGTATCTAATTAGCAATTAGTTATAGCTTCCTTACTGGTTCAATTAATCAAATTCATGTTAGTGTAACTTAAGACTAAATTTAATTAACTGATCAATTTTAATGGCTGAGCAGTTTCAGTAAACAAATTCTTCAGCCTACTTGCTTGTTTTAGTTTGACTTTGAGTGTGTTGAAGTAGAGAGGTTGTCTGTGCTGTCCTCCAGGCTGAATTGGGATTCAGTCTTGGTTTCTTCCCCCAGCCTTAAGAGACAAGAGCACTGTTGAAAATCTGTGTATTTTTATTTACTTTGTTCCCAAGCCCAGTGCCATGCATGTTGTCTTTCAGGGAGTTCTTTTGAGATGAACTTGGCTGGTTTTGGCCTCATCCCTGTCAGAACTCTGCGCATTTTTCTTCCCAGCAACCCTTAATGCTCTGCCACATAGATTTTGCTTTATTCCCATAGAAAAGCACTTATTTTTTTTTAAGCCCCCTTTAAATTAGTGCAGAGGAGCCACCTGGTGCTGCCTTTGCTGTGAATTCTGTGGTGTGAAGCTGTTGTGTGGCATACAGGGTTGTAACGGACATAACTGTACAAAATTTCAAGAAATGTGTATGTGCAGTGAAAAAAATTAATATTTTAGGCTCAAATCCTGGTCGTTGGGAGGGGAGGGTGCCCCCTCAACCCTCTTTGTGCTGTAACGAGAAAGGGTCTGACCTTGGGTGAGCTCCAAGTGCTTCCAGCTAAAAGCTTGAATAAAAGTGTTTGACATGCTTGTACAGCAGACACCTGTACCAGAGCTGCTGTGCTTGTTGTGCTCATGCTGCAGGATCCATCAGTGAAGCACTTTGCAAATGCAAAAACTCCCAGTGCAGTTTGGTTCAGTCAGCAGAAGTGCACAGGTTTTTTCCTCACATACATGTGTGTAATGATTTGAGGTGATTGATCTCTCCAGAGCTGTGTGAACATGGGAATCTTCAATATAAAGCCTAAAATATTCCAGGCTATGACACACCTCAAATGGCCAGGGAAAACACTCTGAGATTTTTATTTAGTCAAGTCTGACCTCTGGGAATGATGGAGAAGCAATAGGAATGGAGGCAGCTCTCCTTTGCCTTCACTCCCCTTCCTTCTCCATCCTGATATCCCTCATTTTTCTGCTGGTACTCCAGTCTTTAACATCAGACATTGAACAGCTCAGTGACAAACACCAGAGCATTTTTTCTGAAGTTGAAGTGATGTAATTGAAAAAAATGTGAGGGCAGCTCAGTCCTCAGCCCTTGTCTGACTGCAGTCTGCTCATCCTGCCAGTTTGGGACAGATGGAAAGGCAAACTGCTGGTGTGAAATACAAGTTTTGGGGTACCAAAAGTACAGAAACACCCAAGTTGTCACTGTGTTATCTTGCCCTCACCCAAAGAAACAGTGTTTTATTCTTGGCAGTAAAGGTGAGTGTGACTTTGGTTTTGGATCTTAACCTGTTTATAGACATTGGTGTCAGAATTGAATGTACAGTGCAAAGTCTCTCTATTGGCTCTCACAGCAACCTAAGCTGCTCTTGTTTTCTGTTCTGTTTCCTCCTTCCCCTCTGCAGATTTCAGGAAACCTTACTGTGCCTTGGATTACAGGTTGTTCCAGAAAAAGAGCAGTAAGTACATTTCCATCTAAGTATCTAATGCATCGAGTGAAGCAATGAAAAAGTGGTAAAAATGCATTTTTGAAAATGTCAGCTCTGTTTACCTTGGGTGGGTTTTTTCCCTTTTTCCTTTGATACAAACATTATCTGCAGGTGCAATGTTTCAGTTGAGGTGAAATTGATGTCCATCTTTAAAAGCAGGTCAAGGTCATCACCCAGTGTGAGGTGATGCCCAGGGAGGAATTGTTCTTTTAGCTCAAATACAACATCTGAATTGATAAGGACTGAGAGTTTGGAGCTCAGAATGTGTTTTTTGTGTTGAAAGTGAAGTGGTTGTTAATTCAGGCAACTGAATGCTTAAGAGAGTAACTCCCTCTGCAGCTTCACTGCACATGCACAGAATTAGTCAGTGCTGGCTGTAGGAACTTGATCAAGTCTAATTTTATCCACATAAATGTCATTTCACAGTAGCAGAATCAGCCAGGTTGGTGTCCTCAATTCACAGAGAACTCCAAGCCATAACACAAGGTATGAAACAGCTTTTGTCAGGGGAGGAAAAAAAACCTCTGCCCAACGCTTTTGTTTAGGTGCTCAGCATTTCCAGCTTGTCTTTGAAGAGGTGTCAGTGCTGCCTCCAGCCTCAGGTGGGATGGTCCAGCCAGGCTCTCCAGGGGCTGCTCTAGCACTCCTGCTCTGTCAGAGGTAACAAAACTGGGCAAGTGTCTGCCAAACTCTCCAGGCTGTGGACATGGCAGAGTCCTGGCAGTGTCCTGGCAGAGTCCTGGCAGTGTCCTGGCAGTGCCCTGGCAGTGTCCTGGCAGTGCCCTGGCAGAGTCCTGGCAATGCCCTGGCAGAGCCCTGGCAGTGTCCTGGCAGTGTCCTGGCAGTGGCTGCTGTGTTGGCAACAAGGTCTAGGTGATAGAAGAGCCTTTCCTTGCTTTCTCCTGCTGTAACCCAAACTTTTTCAATCCTTTATTATTTTCAGTTCTTTAGTCTTCAAAAGGTGAGAGTGTGGCAGTGTTTCCTGTATGAGTAGGAACCTAAGGACCATCACATGAATGGTTTCTTCTCTGAGACTTTTTCTAGGTCTCAACTGAAGCACTTCCAATTTCTGCAGAGTTTGGTACAATCACTTACTCCTTTTTATACAGAGAGCACTTTATAAGAGCATCTCCCAGAGGAACTGATACTTTTATACAAGTCCTGTTGTGCTCAACCCAGCTTTTTTCTTTCCTAAGTGCTAATTCTCTTGAGGAGGCTTTTTAAAATGCAGCTTTTCTCTGGAAGGCTCATCCCCTCTATCACTTAATGACCTTTTAGAGCATCTCACCAAGGAGCTGGGGAGTGTCCTGGGGTAGAGTTTCACAGCTAAATGGGGAGGTTTTCCCTCCCACTGCCCTGCCACCCCATCCACAGCCAATATCCAGCTGTAAGGTAATCCAGGTTGAGTGTGTGACCTATCAGGTACAAATTCTGCTGCTGAGGTTGTTTTTAGAGTTCAGTGCTGTTCTGGGGGTCAGGTGAGTGCCAGAGCCAGCTCAGATCTGGCAGTGGGAGCACTGGGCTGGGAGTGGGGTGATGTTGGCCCCTGCCTGCAGCACTGGGGGTTGTTGGGCATTGTGGTCATGCTGGATACCTGACCCCAGCTGTAGAAGACATTCCTGGAGTAAATTTTAAACTTTCAAAGATGTGGAGGTGCCTGTTCATTAATCATAGAGTCCCTAAGGTTGACAATACCTTTAAGATGATTGAGTCCAACCTTCAGCCCAGCACCAGCATGGTCACCACTACACCATGTCCCCAGGGACCACATCCACGTGTTTTTAGAATATTTCCAGGGATGGTGATTCCACCCCTGCCCTGGGCAACCTGTCCCAATGCTTTACAACCCTTTCAGTGATGAAATATTTCCTGATATGCAACCTCACCTCCTCTGGCCCAGCCTGAGGCCGTTCCCTCTCCTGTCCCTGTTCCCTGGGAGCAGAGCCCGACCTGGGGCTGTCCCCTCCTGTCAGGGAGTTGTGCAGAGCCACAAGGTCCCCCCTGATCCCCCTTTTCTCCAAGCTGAGCCCCTTTCCAGCTCCCTCAGCCCCTCCTGATGCTCCAGACTTTGCCCCAGCCCTCCTGTATCTCCAGGTTCTGAATGTCTTTCCTGTAGTGAGAGACCATTAAGGATGGTTATTAGAGAATTCGTTTTCCTTAGACCTTTACTCATTTGTCTTTTTAATCAATAAAGTGCATAAAACCCATTGGTTAATACAGTCTGACAGCATCTGTGTCCACATTTGTGGTTGCACTTTCCCAGTCTGGGAGCAGAATCAGTCTCCTCCAGGACACAAGCTGGGGACTTGGCACTCCAAAACTGCAGTGTACACACAGGGGTAAGACAGCAAAGGAGAAAAAGCTCCTACTTCCTAGAAACTTTGATTTCAACTGTGAAATTCTTTTGAATTAAGAGTGTGAGGGGACAGAAATAGAATGGATAGAGTTGTAGAAGTGCCATTATGGCAATTACTGCCATTCAAACAGGAAAAAGGCTAATCTGTATTTTGGTTAAAATGAAGAAGATTGTCTTTTAGATGCTCTGAATTTTTAATCTTCTGCCTTGATGTTTTGTTTCCCTTGCCCTGTCCTTCAACTGTATCAGGAGAGAAATAAAAGCTGTGCAGTTCTGCAGAAACTCTTTCTTGTGTGCTCAGCTCTGCTGTAGGATGATGTAATCCTGATTGTTAATGAATATTAGTCTAGAAATATCACCCTTTCAGTAAGTCATGAGAGTGTCTTTGGAAATGACAGAGTTCTGTGTTCTGCCCTGGTGCATGTGCAGTGGCCTTTATGAATGCATTGATTTTTGGTTTTTCACAGGGTGGTGGAAGGATAACAAGGACTCAAAAATAGCAGTGAAGGTACCAGTTAAGGGGAATTAAAAGGGAGAAAATATCTCCATTTCTGTTCTTGAGTCTTGAGTGTACTGACTGTGCTTCAGATCATCTGAGGTCTGAGCAGAATGCTTTGTGTTTGTGGTAGATTTAAAAGTTCTGGTGTGCTCTGGAGAACATTTGTCACACAGGTGGTGACTCTGGGTGAGCTGTGCCTTAGTGGTGAAGTTTTATTTCAGGGGGCTTGTGTGCCCTGAGCTTCACTTTGGGGTGTCTGGGCTCTCAGTCTGGTGTATTTGGGAACAGGAAAGACCTGAAATGGGTGGAGAGTGTGCTAAATTTTGATTTTTGTATCACTGTTTGCACACTGGCTTTTGAATAAAACTCTGGAGATGGAGGCAATAAAGGGTCCCCTCTGTGTCCTGCCTGTCACAGGATTGCAGACACACTTTGGGCAGGTGAAAGGGCTGCAGTGTGGGACCTGCCCCCAGCTGTTCTGGGCAGGGGAACACAGCTGGATTTTGTGGGGGGGGGACACATCAGTACAACTCTAAAGAAAGCTCCTCCTTGGCCTGGGCTCTGCAAGGCTCAGGAAAACCAACGTGAGCTGAGAGCAAACAGCTCAGAGCAGAGAAACCCCAGCAGGGATTAAAGCTGCCTGCAGTCAGAGGGCACCTCAGCTCTGCCTTTTGGTTTCAAACTATTCCAGGAGGAACTTGGGGAGTTCTCTCCACCTTCCTCTGCTCTCCCAGGAGGGGGGAAAATGTGGTTTAGTCAAGTCAGTGGGAGCAGGTCTGAGTGTGCAGTGAGAGGTGAGCCAGGCTGGAGGTCTCTGGATGGGAACACTGTGATTGTTCCTATTTTGGCATTTTGAATACTGACTCAAGTGTTTCCTCCTTCTGTGAGATACTTTACTGTGTATCTCAAAAAGATATTTCTACATTGGTAATACCACCCATAGCATGGCCTGGCTGCTGGCTGGGAGCAGCCCCTCCCCTGTCCCACAGCACTGCTGAAGGAATGCAGAGGGGAACAAGTCTGCTCATGTTTTTATTTCGTGATGTGCTGCATCTCAGTGCCACAAATCACCTTGGCTTATTGTCTGCTGTGAACCTGCAGGCAAGGAATTCATCCTAGCTGAACTGGAACTGCAAAACTTTCGGGCCCAATGTGAGGAAGACATTATTAGATCAAGTAAGAATCATGATAATTACCATCTAAAAATCAGTTTACTTTGAGGCTGAACATTCATTTTTTCACAAATCAGCTCAAAACCTCCAGAAGGGTGAGTGGTCATTTTGTGTGGTTTGAGGGTTGGTTTGGAAATTAGAATGAGATGACTGGGGCTCAAGAGTGTAATTTCTTTGCTAGACTGTTCATTGCATTGATACCTCTTTTTTTTTCATCTTTTTAGTTGAGTTTGATTTAGAAACAGATATTAACAGAATAGCTGTAATTTTGGCTGAGTGCTGAAGCAGTTACAGCTCTTCTCACAACGGGGTGCTATGAAATATTTATCAGTTCTGCCTCCATCACAGCAAACTTCAAGCTTACCCAGCCCGTGGGGAAAGATGCAAAAAGAAAACTGCAGAAACCCAACAGTGTGTGCCCCAGTGGTGTGTGAGCAGGAGTTGAAGGGTGCCTGCAGACACCTTTGTGCCTGAGTTTGTGCAGCTGTGTGTGAGCAGCAGTGTCCAGCCTAAGCTCAGGATGGGTGGCTCTAGTGAAACCTGAAGCTGAAACCTCAGGCTGAAGGAATGTGAAATCTGGCACAGCTTTAATGAGGTTAAATATCTTGGTGTGTTAAGGGAAAATGCAAACCTTCAGGATTTGTACGTGGGAAATCAAGACATAATAAACTGAAAAGTAGGGATGATATTAAATGGTGCAGGTGGGAAAGGAGAAATGTAGTGGAATGATTCAGAAATCACTGTTAATCCATACAAATAAGAACTTGAGGTGGGAATTGATATTCTTCTGAAGAAAGCAGATATTAATTAGTGTCAGGGTTCAGAGAGCTCCATGCTGGTGTCACTGGGAAGGTGAATAAGGCAAAATGACACTGTGCTTGTACAGAAGAATCTGGGATTTGTTCATACTTTGAATACTTTGAGTGCTTCTGATCTTCCCATTCCTCCCAAAATATAACAGAGAAGAAGTGACAGGGATCAAAGGCGTGGAAAATTTGTTTGTGAGAGGTTTGTTTGCTAAAAATAACCATTACCTCAGCCCATTTCATCACCAAGTATCAGAACTGAATGTTGATTTAATATGATTTCACTGCAATTGAAATGAACACACGCAGTGCTCAGCTGCAGCATAAATGCAAGTTATAAAACCTCTAGTTCTTCCATTTTTTAGCATATCTTTGATTAATAATCTGAAATTTGTGTATAGCTTTTGTGCACGTGGCCTGAAACATTTTCAACTGATGCATAAAACCGGATCTAAAAAGGCAGGCTCGAAGAAAAGGCAGGATGAGGACACTCCACTCTGTGCAATTATTCATCCCAATTATAGACACCGGATTTGCACCACAGATATTGATGCACGGTGGGGGGGACCAGGAGCTTGGCAAAGAGCCAGGAATGTCTGACAAACTGGGTCATCTCTTCGAGGGATGTTGTTGTTACACTTGGGAGGCCGGGGATAAGCTGGGTTTAACCCTGCATGCAGCACAACTGCTGATTCAATTTGCTTTTCCTTGGGAATAGATAGGCTGGATTGAGCTGGACAAAGCCTCTCCTGCTTTTTAAACTGTGGCCAACACAAGTGGGAGATGGAAAGGATTCAGCCAACAGCCAGCACTGTCAAGGATAAAGCCAAGCCTTGCATCAGCAAGCTGGGTATCTGAAGAGAGGAAGTGAGAATTGTATTCAGAGCCGAGTTAATGGCATAAAAAATAACTGAATTACTTACTTGCCTTCACCTATAAGTATTGTCATAAACATGAAGCTTGCCAATATTATATTTTGATATTTTTTCCTATAATGGTGAATATTATGATATTTGTAGGGCTCTGAGATTTTCCTCTTGGTCCCTCATTTCCTCTGATGATATTAAGCATGAGAAGGTTATTAACTAAATTGATGGAAGCTTAGTTACATGTACAATGTAGAAATTCTATCCTTTATTTTCTGATAAAAGTCATTATGTAATTTTTAAGCAGTTTATAATGCAGGAGTCAAACTTGGGTATGATCCTTGTCAAGGGGATGATCCTGTAATTGAAGGTAGTTTGTGATTTCCCTAAGAAACTGCTGGTAAGGCCCATGGCACAGCATGTGACACAAAGGCAGCTAATCTGGAGCTGAGATTTGGACATGCTCAAATGTCATTTACATCTCCTGAGCTGACACTGATCCCATGGTGCTGGTGCAGCAGTTGAGAGCAGGGTGTGTAAATGATGATCCTTCAGGATCTCTGAGATCCCATGGAGCTGCTCACTTGGCAGGGCACAGGGGCTCCTCAGTGCTAGGCTTGGCAGAACAAAATGGCTAAAATGAGACAGAGACTCCAAAGTAGAAAAATATGATTTATATTAACTTAATTATACAGCAGTTGTGAGGTGAAAACCACTGAATAGTGATGTATCTAATAAGATTTTTACTGAAACATTTGTAGTAGGTCATCAATATTAACATCAATCCACTAAAATGGAAAAGATCTGACTCTGCTTTTAATGAAAATTTTTGAAGGCCAGGTGCTTTTGCTAAATTTTGCTTTTTCCGTGAAAAAAAAACTTGCTCATTGTTTTGAGCAAGTAAAGGCTGAGCAGGCTCTGCACCTTCCTGAGCATCATCTCTCAGGGAACTCAAGGCAGGCACTGAGTGTCTTTGTCCAAGGCAGGATCCTCTTGCAGATCATTTTTCCTGCTACTGAGCCTTGCTCTGGGTTCTTTGAGAAGAGGAAGCATTTCTGAATAACTGCAAAAGCACGTGGCAAGAAGAAACCTGAGCTTCCTCCAGCAGCAGCTGGGCTTTCTTTGGGTTTTGTTCTAATTTGGCCAACACAACCACTGGGGTGGGAGAAAACAACCTGAGCAAGGCTTCTCCCTTCCCTGTGCTCGAACTCCAGGCACATTTCCTGGTGCTGCACAGAATTTCAGAGAACATTCTGAGCTGGAAGGGACCCCACAAGAATCTTTGTGTGCAACACTGAAGTGAATGGGCTGAAATGAAAGCGTTGAACCTGGGAGGGTAAATTTGGGAGTTCAGGGGGGTTTAGGCTTTGGATATTAAATGTGAGGCACTGCTGGGTGTTCTGTCCCTGCCGAGCACTGATCACAGGGAGCTCTGCGAGTTCACTGCCAGGGCTTGCAGCAGTGTGAGCTCTGCAGAGCCAGCAGGCAATGCCAGTTATTTATGTCTGAAAAACACCCACTGTCCTTTAGGAGGTGAGGTTGCCCCGAGCAGTCAGCAATGTGGATAGGCCAGGGTTCCTTGTTTTATTGTGTAGTCTGGGCATTGCTGTCACTCCCCTCTGCCTTCCCTCTCCTGGGCCCTGGGCTGTCGCAGAGCAGAGCCCTTCCCAAATCCCAGTCTCTTCTGCCAGCAGCTATAAAAGGAGTTCTTGCTGCAGTGATCCAGGGCATGGCTGTGCTTTTGTTCCTTGAACGAGGCTTGGAGTCAGGAGGAGCTCAGGTCAGGCGTGCAGCCAGAGCGGCGGCAGCTCCGGGAGAACGGGCACCGGGGATTTGGATCTGGCATTGCCCAGGTCTGGAGCTGCACTTGGCTCAGCCTAGAGAAGCCTTCAGTGAGCCGAGTGGATTCCTTTGGGATGAGCATGGCCTGGGACATCATGCCCAGGAGCATCTCCTGTGCTGGGCTGCCCGGGGCTGTGCAGGGCAGAGCGGCTCAGGGGTGTCCGGGCTGCTCCTGACCAGCCCCGCTCTGATGTGGATGGGCAGGATGGGAACAGCCCCTCTAATTCCAGGCTGGGATGGTGGAACCATAGCCAGGAAAAGCTCTGAGTGCCTGGTAGGCACCCAATTAATCGTGGATTCATTAAAGTTGGAAAAGATCTCTAAGGTCATGGCGTGCAACCAGACTGTATTTGAATTTATCTGGTGCATCTTTTTACCAGAATTACTTTAGGAATACAAAGGTTTAATGCCCCTGTTTTGTGTTCATACATTGAGGAGACTCAAGTGCTTCTAACATTTTGAGAAATAGTAATTTTTAAGAGGAGAAAATTGCAACAATTACAATAGTCTAAAGATTAACAAAAGCTAGAAATGGGAACTGTACAAGGTTGTCAAATGATCCTAGTTCTGTAAAATTACTTTTTATTTATTCCACTTAAAATTATTTCTTTCTAGCTTTTAATGGTTTTTAAATGAGCAAATACAGAATTCAGCTATTGAAATCATGAACACAATTCAGCTACTGAAATAATGACACATGTGGAACATGGGCTGCACGTTACCCATGCAGACTTTGTGGTTGATTTTCTGTCCTCTAAAGAGCAGAAGTGAAAAACATGGGTTGGTGTAATGAAACTGTAGATTTCAGATAAAATTCTATGTGAAAAGCTTTTGATAAAGCTTGGAAGCTCTACTAGAGAAATACACTCTGTGCTCACCAGTTCAAACAGCGGTAAGATGTTTAGGAATTCTTTTTCAGTGTTACTCTTTTTATCAGTGATTCACTATCACATGTTTTGATAAACATAGACAAAGGGTTTGGAAACTCACAGATAAACAGTGGAACCAATTTAAACTCAAGCTCACCACATAAACATTAAAGTATTCCCTTTAGGAAGTCAGAATCCTTTGAATTATGCATGTGTTGTAGTTTGCAGTAAGATAAAAGAACTTTATGGGGGGAGGGTGAGAAACTTGAAAAGCCTTTAAGGAGTAATTTGCATAAATTGGGTGGAGAGAGTAAACAGCACGAGGGGGAAAAAAGTTATTTTCAGTAAGGCCTTATAGAATGAGATAAAACAAATTACCAAAAAGATCATGTGCAGTTGAAACAAAGCTGAAGTGCCTTAAACTTGGTTAATGCTGCCACTGCCTTTACAGCAAATCCCAGGGAATGCTGAAGTGCCCTGGATGAAAAAAAGAAATAAAAAAAACCCCCAAATTCTTAAGGGAGACTTAAAAGAGAAGAAGAGCCATGGAAACAGTAGAACGTGTGTGTTACTGTGTAGGAAACCTCTGGACATGAATGCTCAGGATAAGCAGATTTTTTTTTTCACTCTAACAGTATTTTTTTTTTTATCTTGCAGTTACAGGACCGCACACAATTTAGTGACCGAGACTTAGCTACCCTAAAGAAATACTGGGACAATGGCATGACCAGCCTGGGCTCAGTCTGCAGAGAGAAAATTGAAGCTGTGGCTGCAGAATTAAATGTTGACTGTGAAATAGTTCGGGTAAGAAATCCAGAGTCTTCCCTTATCTTGTTGCAGGAGCAGAAATAGGGACAGATGAAAGGCTTTAAAAATTTCATGAGGAGGCTTGAAATAGATTTCACATATTACATAATGAATGACCATGTTGGGAAGTGCTCTCCTGCTCTTTCTGCAGTCTATATTTAGTAAAAGCCCTCAGGTAAGAGTCTTATTGATCAGCAGCAGAAGCAGCACTACGAGCTGTTTGACATTCTCTTGAGTAAGATTTTAAGTAAAAGTGTTACATTTTTGAGGGAGATCCTAGAAGACTGAAAGGTCCTCTTTATATTGCTAATAAGATACCAAAAAAGGGCTTTTCTAAAGATACAGAGAAAATACGTCTCATTCATGCTTTTAGGGAAAATTGTGTGAAAGAAAATGCTCCAAAATAGGAAAAGAAATATTTGACAAGACTGAGGGCAGGTGGAGATGAGATGGAGGAATTCTGGGTCAGTTCAGTTTGATGGTCCCTGTAGATGCTGAGGGAGGCACAGGTGTGCTGGAAGTCACCTGGCTCCAGGAAGCTCTGCACATCACCCCTTCCAGAGGCTGGGGTGTTGTTGTTGCTGTGTCCTGGGTGAGCAGACACCCAGCAGCACCTCTGGGGTCTCATTTGCTCATCCCAGCCTCAGGAAATGGCCCCACTGTTTGCAGTCAGACAAGGACAGGAACCTTCCTTTCCCTCATGACAGCCATGACAATTGGGATTATTCCTTTCAGTTTTCATCCTCTTTTTCCACCTGCTTCCTGAATTCCTCACACTGCTGCAGAAGCAGGGCTGAGAGCCCTTAGTGAAACTCTCCTGCTGTGGAGACTCTGCCTTGCTGCATCCAAATGGTTCCAAAGCTGCTTTTAGGGCTGGACACCAATCTGATTATTGGTTTTTGTGGGCACAGAGGAATTCTAAAAAAGCCAGTTTTACTTTTGGAAGCTGAAGAGAATCACTCTTTTCTCTGTAGAGAGCAAAGCTGCTGCTTGTTTTCCAAGAACTTCACTTTGCCCTCTGAAAGGTGACAGCACCTCCTGGCCGTGACACACAGGGTGTCACCCAGGCTGCCTTGGTTTGTCCCTTGGGAACATCGTCCCTGGCACACAGGGGGTGACACTGTGGAGTTCTGTGCAAACCTTTCCACCTGCTGGAATGTTTCTGTCCTCAGGGCAGAGTCTGGGGATGGCTCTGGCATCACCTGCACCAGAGCAGACTCACAAATGAGCCCAAGCACTTCACTGACCTTGCTAGAAATCTTGAAGGAGAATGTATTTTAGGGATAGAATCTCAAGCTGATTTCCCACATGGCAATTCCAATCTGCTCCTGCCCTCACTGTTTTACTGTTCCAGAATGTTCTCTGTTCAGCAGAGCACACAGGATGTGGAACCTTCCCTTCCCTATTTAATTTGAGACACTATCAAAACATGTTCATCTTCTCTGACATTCTCAGTATGTTGAATGAAAGATTTTCTGCTTTGAAAAGTCTGTAAAAAGATCTGCCTTTCCCAAGTGCCTTTTTTACTAAAAAAGAGATCGATTCAATTTTAAATTTTGTTAGCACTGTTTGTTAAAATCACAAGATGATGGGAAAATTTAAAGAATGGCAATACATTGCTTGGAAAAAAGAGACCCAGCTCTCAAAGGGCTGCTTGTGTGGGGGGTTTTCTTTAATTTTTTATTTCCCTGAAACTGTAGGTAATATTAAAAATGATCTTGGTAGTTCTCTGCATACCTGTTGTGCATTCTTCAAAGAGGAAAGTCAGCAAATTGGGAAAGCAAATACCAGCCAACAAAAATGATTTGCTAAAAATAATGTTCAGCATGTTATCTTTTAGCTTGTTACAGATGCAGCTTTCAAAGGGTTTTTCTTTCCAAGGCTGGCACAGCATGGAACTCTGTTTAGTAGTTGGGAACTGCTGTTAATATTCCTTTATTTTTTCTCTTTGGTAATCAAGGTATTATAAGCAAAAAGTTTTTTACTCTACTTTTTCAGAAGAAAAAGAAGGAACAGGTCAGGTATTTCTGAAATAAGGCCAGAGTGATGTTTAGTGTGTCTTTAAAGAAAATCCTAAAATATTTTAATGCCTAGGGAAACTCACTTGGAACAGAGGCCTCATGGAAAGGATGTGCATTTTGCCATGGTCTGATCATGTTTTCAAACCCAGGAACTGCTGCTCCTATTTCTGGGGGTGTAGATGGTGGGAAGGGGGATGAGAACCAGCCCAAGAAGGGTGGGAGTAGCAGTTGGTAAAGAAATGGATTCCTGCCTCTGGGAAGGATTTTTGGTTTGATGGAATGAAGGGTCTGGGGTACAGGGGCTGTTGAGCAGAGTTGAGATGAGAAGCTGAAAGCCTGAGTGACACAAGGGAAGGGAGAGCCTTAGGAAGAGAAGAGTTGCAGACAATTATGTCACTGTAAACTCTGAATCTTCAATAATTTTTGCTGTAGATGTTTCTTCATCAGAGAAGGCAAATTAATGACCAGGTACACAGATCCACTTGGAGAATTTAGAATGTGGGTCTTTTCCTTCTTTTTTTTTTCTCCTTTGAAATTCAGTTTTATTGATGTAAGATTAAAGCATCATCTCCATCCCACCATGGCAGGGTTTGCAGGTTCCCTGGGCTGGTTTCATCTCCCAGTGTGCTCCTCTGCACTCACTGCAAACAACTTTTCCTAAAGCTCTGTCTTACAGCCAAAGGGGACTGAAGGATGAGCTGCTCTGAGCTTTAATTTTCCAAATTCCTTTCTGCCCTCCAAGGGGAGTGCTGTAGATCTGTCACCTTGGCCAGTTCCCTCTGTGCTGGAGGAAATCCTAGAACAGGGGGGATGTTTGGCTCATTGGGTGCTTCAGTCCCCTTATGGAAGTTGCAGATTAGAAGAACCTGGATCAAAGATCTTACATTAAATTTGTTGAATAATTTAGGTGGGCAGAGACCTTACAAAGTCACCTGGTCCTGCTCTTTATCTGGAGCAGGATTGACTTTGGAGTCAAGTCAGGTTTCTCAGGTTGCTGTCCAGTAAAACACTGAGTACCTCAAGGCTGGAGGTACCAAGGCTTCTGTGGACAAACTGTCCCTCTGCCTCACTGCAAAGCATTATTTTTTTTTTGTGTTCTCACTTCCAATCAGAGCTTCCCTTGCTGCCTCTTGTGCCCATTGCTCCTTTTCCTTTTGCTGTGCACCTTCCTGTTTCCCATGGAAAGCTGGACACAGGATTTTGAGAAGGAGCCTCAGGAGGGTCAAATACTGGGGAATAATCAGCTCCCTGAACTGCTGGCTGCACTCCTGCTCCTGTAGCCCAGATGTGCTGATGTCAATTGGTTGGGGGCCTGTTGCTTTTGTTATAGTTTCTGATATCATTCATGTTTATTTCTCTTACAAGACTTGGATTGGGAATCGAAGACGGAAATATCGTTTAATGGGGATTGAGGTCCCACCCCCTAGAGGAGGTCCTGCTGATTTCTCTGATCAATCTGAATTTGTTTCTAAATCAGCACTTAATCCAGGAGAGGAAACTGCTACTGAAGTGGGGGATGATAATGATAGGAATGATGAAGTATCAATCTGCTTATCTGAAGGAAGCTCACAAGGTATTTGGAATGCAGTTACTACTGTGCCTATATTTTCAATTTTGTGCAGTGTGCATGCTTTGGATTCTGTTGTACACATTCAAAAACGTCTGACAGAGTCACAAGTGCTCCACCCCGCCTGGGCTGAAGGTACTGTTTGGTCTCTTTCTTCTACCTGTGTGTCTCTGAGTTTTGTTTGGTTTGTAATACAAAGTTTGGAGAAACCTTTGATCCTAAGAGCCCCATTTCTGCCAGATTCATCTGAAATGAAATCAAGAGTTCACGTTTTGCTGGTGGAAGTGAGAGCTGGGCAGACAGTACATGTGGGGAAGTCTCACTTCCCAAGGAAGCCAGATTTTAAAAATAATCTCTGTCAACTGCTCAGTTCTTCCCAGCCAGCTGGAGTGGCCATCCCTGGAAGTGTCTAAGGCCCAAGGGCTTGGGGTAGGGGAAGGTGTCCCTGCCTTGGCAGGGGTGGCACCGGATGAGCTTTAAGGTTCCTCCCATCTCAGCCTCTGCTGTGATTCCATGGTTCCATCCCTGTGATCCTGGCCCACCCCAGGCACTGCTGGGGCTGAGCAGAGCTGCTGGGACTGTGAATTCCCAGTTCTCCTGGCAGGGAACCCCTCAGCTCAGGCTGGAACAAGGAGCTGCCCAGGCCTCCTGCTGCTCTGTCTGACAGGCAAACACAACGAGCAGATCAAAGGCAGGAGCAGGGGACAGCTCAGGAGCCTTGGAACTGCACACGCAGGGGGTGTCCTCAGTAAACTGCAGCAGCTGCACTCAGAAGTGCCTACAACTTAATTCCCTTTTCCCTCCCAGGAGCACATGGGATCAATGTCTGCCCCTCCTGTCCCTGAGCCCAGCACATCCCCCACTCACTAATTGCTCCCAGTGCTTCTGCTTAGAGGAGATCAATGGAGCCTTTGCTCTGCCAGCCTAAAGAAAGTGTGACCTCGGGCCTGCTGCTGCTGCAGCTCCGTGTGCCACGCTTGATCCTGTCATTTCCTCAGAACAACTGAAAGGGAAGAGCCAGGGGAGCAGAGAGCAGCTGGCAAGGAGTTTGGGAGAGCCTTGTCATATTCCACTGTAGAGGGAATAAGATGATAAAGAAATGGGTCAAGTGATTGAAAGGCAAGTGAGATGAGGAATCTCAGAGTCCTTGATTTGCCTAAGGTGTGGAAGGAGCTGATTTAAGTGAGATGTGCTTGAGAGAAAATGATGACAGAGACGAGCTGAAGTGTCTGTGGTTCAAGTGAGGAATAATTCCGTGTTTGTTGAGTCAGGCAAGGTGAAGCTGAACACTTGGCTGCATTATTAGTGTCAAAGCCTAAGCAAGTGCAAGGAAACAACAGGATTTCCACAGCATCCAGGAATCCCACTTTAATTCCTTTATTCTCCCACAACAATTCTTTCTGTTCATTTCTCCAGTTCAAAGGAGGAGGTTTCACTGCTGCAGCTCAGCTGATTTTGAACTTCTTGGAAAATATTTCCCCCAGTACTCATGGGTTATGTTCAGCCACAGATAGGGAATTGTTCTGATGTTTGAGAACTGTAGCTTTTGGTCCTAATTTATTAAAGAGCCAAAACCACAACAGCAAAAACCACTCTGAAAGACAAACAAAAGCAATTTTTGGTCACCTAGAGTGACAGTTGAGGGCTTCTGCTTTTAAAATATAGTGTGTAAATATAAAAAAATTAAGCTGTGCTGTGATGCAAAATGGATCATTAAAGCTCTCATATTGCCTCCACTTTTTTAATTGTGTGTTAATTGAATCCACACTGTATAGAAGAGGCCATTAGGGCTGTGCCAGGTTCCATGAGCTGAGGATGAATATTTAAGGAGTTGGGAATCTGCAGGGAGCTGTTGAATCCAAGGGGTGGCTGTCAGGGTTACAGAGTTCCTGGTGCCTTGGGATGTCCCCAGGTCCCTGAGGATCATCCTCACCTTTCCTTGCTCCTGCTCCCCAGTGCTCCCATTTGATCCCATGTGCTCCTGGCACAGATTGTCCTATGGAGCTGTGACCACTGACAGATGGAGTTTATTTGAAACTATTTCCAATCAAATTTGCTCAGTTTATAGATATTTAACTTAAAAGTTGTTTAAAGCCATTAACTGGCTCTGTATGATCTGGCCTAAATATTATCCTGTCTTTGGTAATCCCAGGGAAATCCTGTTATCCCTGTGTTTGTGTGGAGGTGACAGACCCTGGAATCACCTGAACCTTGCTACCCCTTCCCTCTTTTCCTCTTTAGATTTAATATGTGTAATAGAGATTTATGTTTTAATATGCAGAAGTCAAGTAAATCTGAGAAACAGACTTCAATTTGAGGGGTAAATAGATTTACCTTTCTTTGGGTTTTGTGTTCTCCTGGGCCTCTGAGGTCAATGGAATCATCTCGTGCTTTGTGGTTGAAATAACAGGGTAAAATCTGCCCTGTTTTCAAGTGTTTATCCATTAAAAAGCACTTTAGGTTCACTAGGGATAAGCATTTGCCATAATCTGATCAGTTTTTGTTTCAAAACCCATCAGTGTCTGCAAGGGGTAAGTGGGATTTAGATATGTACCCCAGAATTTCAGGAATGCAGGATTTTTGATGTAGGAATTTATTTTCATTTAAAAAAAAAAACAACTTCTGCACACGTCTGATGTGTCTTCATCACCTTTGAATATTCCCAAAAATGGGAAGGTTTTGGTACAGAGAATAACTGAGAGTTTTGTTGTTGTTTCAGGTCACAGTTGGTTTGATGTTGGCCTGAAATGCTTGTGACAAGATGTCTTTTTAATAAGGCAGATATTCTGTTTATGATTAGACATTGATACCATGACTTTGCTGTTGGATTTAGCAGCTGTGACATTTACTGGTAAACACCATTAATGGTCCTTCAGCATAAAATTGGAATGAAATCTGACAAAACCAATTTATTTCTGCAGAAGAGACAAATGAAGCTCTTCAAAATGAAGAAATTGGCCACAAAGATGATGACCAGAATCCAGTTTCCACTGATAATGTGGTATGTTCACCTTTCCTTTTCCACCAATTAGTAACTCCTTAATTAATATTGAGGTTGTCCAGCACCTGTGTGTGTTTTCACTAGGTGGCAACTTCAGTTGTGTGTGTGAGCTTTAAAACTGTATTAAAAATACTAAAACACAGCAGGAAAAAATCCCTGAAACCTTCAGTAGAAATGGTTTGCAGAGGTGATGTCCAAGAGACTCAGCTCCCCAACCTGCCTGAGCCCCAGATTTTGTCATTTCATACAACAATGGAACAAAAACAAGGAAAAGTTTCTTCCTACTTTATTCTGAAAACACTGTAACAAATTTTTTTTAAAATGCCCTTAAAATTGGACTAAAATACATTGCATTTGCATAAGAGATACAGTTTTCCTATTTGAAATTCCACTCTTTTCTTTCCCCTCTTATCTTAAAATGAGTGTCTAAGAAGGGGAATGAGAATGTTTGGCAGTTGTTTAGAGACTCTTTCCTCAAGCTGAGTCTAAAACCAAAAATATTTGAGTCCCAGTGTTACTGGGGGTCTGATGGAGCAGCAGAACTCGGGAACATCAAAGCTCTGAGCTGTTGTCACTTCAGCTGGGCAGGCAGACACTGGAGCACACAAAATGTGCTTTATCCTCCCTGCCTTCAGCACAGGCTTGGTGGGACCTGTCAGGGAGAGCTGGGAGGATTTCTCCTGGGTGATTTCAGGGAAATTCCTGGTGTGCAGGCAGGAGGGACCACGTGCTGCAGGAAAAACCTCCAAAATAACACCTCAGGAATGACCCATGGACATGGATTGGGTTAGGGGTTCTTCCCTACACTGGGTTAAACACCATCCCGAAAAAGAGAAAAATTGCTTTAACTTATTTTGGACAGGTTCATAAATGTTCACAACTGTCAAAAAAATTAAAAACAGTAAAAAATCTTGGGATGTATTTCTGAGTCTTAGCCAGTGTTAAGCTTGGCCTTAACATTGTGCTTTAGATAGCTTTAGAAACCCAATACAAAAAGCTCCCCCAAAATTTGTGAATTAGGTGAAAATGTCCATATTTGTGCATTTGGATCAGCATCCCCTACAGCTCAGGGCATTTCCCTTGCCCTGTGGCCAGGGAAGGTCAGAGGAGAACTCCTTGATTTCTTTAGGAGAGGAGTAGCTCAGGACCTGCTGTGATGGCTGGTTTATCCAGAGGAAAACATTTCCAGACCCTCCTTTGCAGCAGAGCAGGAGCTGTGAGGGGATAAATGTGCAACTTAAAGTCAAAAAGCTGGGCCAGGGAGCTCCTCCTCTGTAAACAGCCCCAGTCTCCATGGCAGCAGCTCCTGGATTCCTGCTGGATCTCCTGGCTGAGGTGCATGATTGCCATCTAATGGGGGCTCAGAACTCCTCAGGAGCCAGCACAAAGCTCCCTTGCCTCCATCCTCCATCCTTCCTCCTTCCTGCCCCTTTGGGATGAGGATCCTCGTTCATTTGTCTCCTCTGTGTGTTGGAATGAGCTGTTTGCTTCTGTTTCAGAAAATAGAAATTTTAGATGATGAAGAGAGTGATCTGATCAGCAATTCTGAAGTGGATCAGATGAGTTCTCTTTTGGATTACAAGGTGAGTGATTGGGCCATGGGACAGCAGGATAATCCCCAGGGAGTTCAGGGGGTGGATCTGTCAGGAATTTCTCAGCAAAAGCTTGTGGGATCCTGAGTTCCTCTGCTGTGCACATCATGTCCTCATCCCACCCCCAGCCACTTTATTTGTGTTTCAACCCAAATGGAGGCAGGAAAATCCCATTTCTACAGAGCTGCAGCTCCCCCTGTATGTCCCAACAAAGGGATTTATGGAGCCACTCCACCAGAATTGTTCCTTGGAATGCTGCAATGCTTCCCCTGGTGCTGCCAGCTGTGGAAGGGACTGAGCAGCTGGAATGCTCTGCTGGAATGGGGAGATCTGAGGAGAAGTCATTCCCCAGGACATGGAAGTGGTGGCTGTGGGAGAGAGGAGAAGTTGGATCCTGCCAGCTCCTGTCTCCTGCCAAAAGCTGGGGGTTGTGGCTGCTCTCCCAGGAGCTGCCACAATTCCACATTTCCTTGAGTTTTTACCTCCATTGCTGATTTTCTTTTTCTTAGAAACCAGGTCTGTTCTCCTGACAGTAATCAATCACCAAAATAATAAACAGATCATCTCTTCAGAACAAAAATTCCTCCTTCCAGCAGTGTTTTCCTGGGAAGGGCAGTGGAGAATGGATCAGGAGAGGGAATGACCTTTTCTTAATGTCACCTGTCAGCCCAGTGAGAGGCTTGTTGTGACAGTGCCCTGCAGAGCCAGGGTTGTTTGACAGCACTGATTGTTCCCCGAGTTTTATGCCTGAATCTGAATTCTTCTGGGCTGGGCAAAATCCAGAGCTAAACAGGCAACTGCTACGTATCCATTGGGAAAAATTCAGCTGATTTTTTAATGGAAGCCTCAGAATTGCAGCCCAAATATTCCTCTCTCATTCCCAGAGCTGTTACCACCTGGAACAGTGTGGTGAGCAGTGCTTTCACTGAAAAAGAGTGAATTTTTTGGGGAAAAAAACAACAAAAATACAGCCATTTTTAAAGGTTTGTTGCAAACCTTTTGAGCATCATGTTGTCACAGCTTTTCATGTCTACTAAAGCTGAATTCCAGCCAGTGTGAGCATGAATATTGTATTTTTTTCATTATTCTCTCATGAGTTGGTGCTATTAAGCAGAGCTCTTCTGCAAAAATGAACAATGCTTTTGATCTTGTCACCTAACTAAACAGTTTGATTTTCATGTTCTTTGCAAAGGTGAATAACCAGAGAAAACGAATTTTATCTCTGCACTGATCAACAGGTTTAGCATTTTGAACCAGTATGTTTCAAAGATAAGAGATACTTGGAATAAATGGAAATACTTATCAAATCTGAATTTTTAATTAAGAGCTAGTATAGATTGGGAAATGCCTTTTTAGCCAAAGCATACAAATTATTGATATTTCCACATTTTGTAATATATTACATCCAGTTCCAGCCTTAAACAGCTCTGTGGAGGTTGGAACTAAATGATCTTTAAGGTCCCTTCCAAGCTGTTCTGTCACTCTGTGATATTTCACTCTGTGATATTCCTGGTTATTCTGTAACCCCAGGGATCCTGAGGAGCTTGGTGAGCTGACACTTGATCCACATCAAACCCAGCTGCACTGGAGGATGTTAGCTTTTAATTCTGAGGAATTTTCAAGTCATTTTCCCTGGTTTTTGTGTCAAGCCTTCTCCTGCAATAATGGAATTTATTTGCTGTCTCTTCTCACAGCCCCTTGATCACTTCTAGGAAGAGATCTGGGCTTTGGTTGTCATTGTCACTAAACATCGTTTTTAGTGACAATTTAGTTTTAACCCAGGGGTGTTGAGGTTTGGTTATTCCAGTGCTTTGTCCTGGGGACGTGCTCAGTGGTGGCCTTAGCAGTGCTGGGGAATGGTTGGGCTCAATCTTAGAGGACTTTTCCAGCTCAAAGGATCCCGTGGTTCTGAGATAATTCCCAGAACTCTCTGGTTTCCCCACAGAATGAAGAGGTCAGGTTCATTGAGAGTCAACTGGAGAACCACAAACAGAAATATTTTGAACTGCAGACATTTACCCGGAGTTTGATACTTGCAATTAAATCAGATGATAAGGAACAGCAGCAGGTAAATCCTGGAGCAGGTTTAATATCTGTGTTTAATATCAGAAGATGTTTGTCCTTCTGTGTTGTGTCCCTCCCTTGGGTTTATTCCAGAATCTCAAATTATGATTGAACAACTCAATTAATTTCCTCACTCTTTGTTCATAGCACTGCTGATAACAAACCCACACCTAATAATGTATATACTATATATTAGATGTTTTTCCCTTGTAGGCTCTGCTTTCAGACTTACCTCCTGAACTTGAAGAAATGGATTTCAACCACACATCCCCAGAGCCCGACGATACCTCATTCAGCCTCTCCTCCCTGTCAGAGAAAAACGCCTCAGACAGTTTGTGATTGCTTTTTTTGGTTTTTTTGGTTTTTTTTTTTTTGGAAGAGACAGAACAGAAACCCCCCAAGGAGGTGCAGGGTTCAGGGGACAGAGAGGCTTTTGCTCTGCAGTGTTCTCAGCCCAGGGAGCCAGCCCGAGCAGGAGGAGCCTGTGCTGGAGGGCAGCTCCTCCCAGCCTTGCACTGCCCAGGAATTGGGAATGCTGGCTTTGGAAAATCAAAGAACTGCCTGAGGGAAGGGTTCACTGCTAGCAGCTTGGCCTTGGGTAGGATTAACTTGGACTCTCCAGAACAACTCTGGCTCTGTAGCAAAGTCTTTTTGAGCAGGAGTGGGAAACAAATGTGTGACACAGCGAATTCTCCAGCTCCACGTGCTCCCCAGGCCTGTTTATTATATTTTTCCCCATTTTTACTCAGGTAGGTGAACTAAAAATTGGGGATCCAAATAGAATAACAGGCTTTCTCTGAGTTGTGCTTGAAAACCTGAAATTAAACTGAAGTGTTTTTTGTTTTCTGACTTGAGATTGTTAAATCTTCCATTTTTCTGACCAAAATAGCTGAAAAAACTTTGAAAAGCTAACTGAAAAAATTGAATGATCATCAATAAATTATTAATGCAAGGAAGCAGTGATAAGTGTTGGAAGAAATGAGGTGGAAATGGGAACCCTGATAGCTGCAGGACACAACTTCCTAATACAGTAGCAATGGGATTGGATGTTTACACTCATTAGAGTTTAATGATTGTAGTCACAGTTTTTATTTGTCAAAGCCTGAATGCTAAAGTTCTTCTTATTATTTTAAATCTTGGTTATATATTTTTCCACGAACTTTGCTCCAGTTTACCAAGCCAGTCAGAATTCCACAGCTGTCATTGCATCCTGAAAGGTTTGGGAAGTGAGTTTTGCAGGTCTGGTTTGAAGCCCTGCCTGATGCATTTTTTGGCAAGTGCCATTTCTAAACTGTGATCTCGACTGCAGGAAGGGACTGAACTGAATTTTCTTCCTTCCCAGAGCTGTTGGCACTGAGTCCCTTCACTCCTGTGGTGGCCTGGATGGCAGAGATGTTCAGGTGGAGTCACTGGGGTGTGTTGGTGTCCAGGGAGTGCCTGGCGGTGGTGACAGGGTGGTGACCAGTCCAGGGCAGGTCTCAATCCTGGAGCTCTTTTCCTCCAGGATGGTTCTGTGGGATGCTGCAGGTGCCTGCCCATGGCATTGATGCTCCAATTCCAACCTGGATATCCCTCAGCAATCATTTTTCACACAGATACTTCAGTCTGGTAAAAAAACTGATTTTCCCATTTTATGCCAAATAATAATTGACTCTGGGGAATCCTTGTTCATCAGTGAGTAATCCCCTTAATTTCAGTGGGAGGTCCAAGGTGTAGCTCAGAAAATCCAGAGAGTTAGGGAAATATTTACACCTGTTTTTTCTTTAATACTGGGATTAAACGGGGGTTTTAGGGTTTTCTCAGTCTGATCAGTTCCTCCCTAATCACTTGTACAGCTCTTTTTGTTTAGTATCAGTAGTGAGCTCTGTTCTTTCAGGTTTTTAGTCTCTCCTCTCCTTGGGCACGAGGAGCTTTTAGCAATACTGTTAAATACCAGCTGCAGAAAGGGCAGGAACAGTTTTAAAAGGTGTTCTGAAAAACCAAAAGTCTCACAGTTCTGCCCCCTGTACAATTCTGTAAATTCCCAACAGAGCTTCCCTTCCACAGAGAAAGCCCCGAGTTCCAAGCTGCTGTGTGTGAGTTGAGGCATTAAAACTCAGAGTGGAAATGGAGTTTTGTGAGCAGAGCTGACAGTGCTGTCCTTCACTGGGGGGATAGAGCTGAGCTGGAATTCTGCTCACAATGAAAAACTCATTTATAAAGGGTTTTCTATGCCAGGCTGACAATGGTTCTTATTGCTGTTCTCTTTGGACAGGAAATTTGTGCCACTGACAATGAAACCTCTTGGTTTTTTGTGATTTTTTTTTTTAAATAGTGCTGGGATTTGCCACTATTTGGACCCTGTTTTTCCTGCTTCTTCCACTTGAATTCCCATGACAGAGGGCAGGATACTTGTAACAGGAGTTCTCAATTTCATGGTCAGTTAAATCATCTGCCTTCCTGCAAGAAAAACTTCCATTGATGATTCCTATTTTGTTGTCTTGCTGCTATTTCATATCCAAACAAATGGAAGGAATTAATTTTGAATGAACTGTTTGCTAGATACAAACAATTATGTCAGTCCCTGTTCTCCAGGAAGCTGGAATCCTCCTGGATGTGCAGCTGAGAAGAGCAGTCAAGGCCCACCCCATCCCTGGGGGATGTTCTGTGGTCCTTTGTCCTGTGGGGAGACCAAACACAGCCTGGGTCACTTGACAGCAGTACAGGATTATCAGAAAAAAAAAAAAAAAACAGTATAAATTCCATCCCTGAATAACAAAATAGGGGAGGAAGATGCTCCACTGCTCCTTGGCTGGTTTTTTTCACTATCAGTGTGTATTTCCAACAAAAACCTGCTGACTGTTGCCAGTAGTGGTGGTTAAATGTTGGTGGAGAGCAGTGGGGGTGGCTCTGGGGTGGGTTTGGGTTCAGGGTGTTTCCCCTGTCCTGTAGGATGGTAACAAATACCTTCATTAAGTGCAGTTCATCATTTCATAACCTTCCACAGGAGATAAAGCTCATCCTGTGCTTTTCAGGGTGACAGAACCCAGCCCCCTTTCTGCCCAGTGAGTGACTGTAATGTGAATTATCACTGCAGCACAAGGGCCACGTGTTGGTGGTTTTATCACCTTTCTGTGGCCGTGGATCTGTGTTTGACCATCCTGCAAAGCCTCTCATTTGCTTTGTCCATGAACAATGCTCATTGCTAGAGCATCCGTGGGAGCATCAGTGGTGTCTTTCTGAAGGAGGCCAGGTGGGAAGGTGGCCGAGAGCAAACTCTTTACCCAGAGGCAGGACAGGCTCTCCCTGGGGGCTGTTTTTAATGCTGGGCAGTTTGCTCATGGTTAAAACCTTGTTTCCTGGAGCTCTTCCTCCTTTCCTCTCCATGCACATCCATAGGTGTGACAGGAGTAACAGTCACAGGAAATATTCCAATAAAACAATAAATACTCCAGTAGGTGAGTTTGGGGCAGGTTAAAGGTACCTGAGCAGATGAACCCTCAGAGGTTTCTGGAGTGCCTGGCCCTGGAGGCAGCTCTGCACTTTAATCTCTCCAAGTATTTCTTTTCACTAAGGCAATAAAAGGTGTGGAATGAGGAGTTTGGGGTTTTGCAGCCCTGTGAGTGAGGAAAGGAATGTCCTGGTTGTGTCTTCCCTCAGGGGAGAAGCTGTGTGTGCTGCTGGGCTCAGACAGGTGAAGGGATGGAACAAACCAGCAGCATCGAGGACATCTGGCTTGGGAATGGGAATCTCTGCTTAGAAGGGATGTGCCCTCCCCTTTGGGATCTGCTGAGTCCCTGACCCTGAGCACAAAGTCCTGCACAGTGTGACCTTCCCCTCAGTCACTGCTGGCCTCTGCTCTCAGAGTGCCTGAAGGGAACAGCACAGAATTCCTGGCACAGGGACAATTCACAGCTTGGTCCAGCCCAAAGCTTGATGTCCAGCCCTGCCCAGCTGCCCCAGAGCAGGGGCTGAACCTGGCTCAGACTCTGCCTTTTCTGTCCCAAATCCTCCCAGCTCAGCTGGGAGGTGCCTGAGCAAAATTAGGGAGTGAGAAAACTCCACCTGGACTGTGGATTTGGATTGTGGGCATTGGATTTCTTTAATCAAGAACATTTTACCACATTGACCACATGTGAAATCTGAAAAGTTTTGGGGAAAAAAACGTAGTTAGATCAGCACTACAAAATGAGTGTTTTCCATGGAAGAGCAGGAGTTTAGTGTGAGTATTTATTGCTCAGAAAAGCAGCAGCTGCTTTGGTCAGAACAGAAACAGGGCAGAGCTTGTGGGGGTTCTTTTCCCACAAAGGGGCAAATCCTCTTGGCTGAGGAGGTGTTCAAGGATGCCCCTGGAAGGAAAACAGTTCAGGTCAGTGCTTTGGCTCTGGGAACAGTGTCCCGTGTTACTGAGCTAAGTCAATGACTCTTTTCCAGCTCTGATTTACATTTTACACAACACTACCTCTGAAACGTGACACCCCTTAAACCCACACAGAAAATGTGAATTTAGGATTTTTTTTTTAACCTTTTATAGGCAATAAATTATTCCCAACGTGCATCCTTCAGTTTGTGCTTGGTTTTTGCTGAGTGTGAGCCATCACTTTGTTTTTATTTTATGCTATTTTTCTGTGTTTGTGTTCATCACAATCTATGGAGAAGGAAATAATGGGATATTAGGGAGAAAAGCTTAGTATATGTTAATGGGAGAAAATATTTCTGTTAAAGCTGAAGGATGGTGGGGTGGCTGTGCTGGTTTTGGTGCAGTTACTGTGAGAAATTGGTATTATCTTTAATTCTGGTATTAGTAATTGTTGGAACATTGCTCAGTGCATCAGATAACTTAATCTGAGAGAGGAGTCAGTGATCTCAGCACTGTAAGGAAAAGGATTTTACACTTCCTGAGACATCACAGTTCATAAATACCTCTGCAGATTTTTGTTTCAGTTGTCTCCTTTTTTTGGCATAACTTTATAGAGACTTTGTAGAAAGAATTTTGAAGTGTTAAATGAAAATGGGTCAGTAACAAACTGAGGTCAAATGTAGATTTATTTAGACCACATTTGTATTCAAGTTTCATCTGAAAAGAGTTCCTTGAATTCCCCCCATCACGTTTGTCTCCCTGGAGTGCAGGGGAAGGGTGGCAGGATGCACGAGGGGGATGGAGGGAATGAGGCACCAGGAGGCAGAAATGAGAGTTCTGGGTTTTAGTCAAGAAAATTTCAATTAACTAAAATGTTTCTGTGCTGTGGAAAACAAGAGCTCCTGCTTTATTTGCAGATTTTGTGAAATACGGTTCAAAAAGTCATTGGCAAATCCACTGAGTTGTGCTGGGGGAAAATTGTCTTCTCCAGTAGGAATTTTGTGATTTCTGGGGTTGTTTCTGGAATTACTGAGTGTGTGAACACTCAGATGCAGATTTGCAATGTGCACAGGTACACTCAACTTGATCACAGTAGCCCTACAAAGATGTTTTAACTTGAAATGTTAATGGAGTTCTTCTCAAATACATTTAATTTGCTCTTATTTTTCTGTCTTGCTGCATATCAATTGCATAGTTCTGAAAAATTAGTCAAATACATCCATACAAATACAGTTTATTCCTTATGTCCTTGCAACTGGTAACTTCTAGGCTTGGAACTTCATGAAAATGCCCATAATAATAATTCTGAGTAATCTTGGCAAATAAACAAACTGCTGTATTTCTGAAGAGATAATGAATCTTCTGCTATGGTAACTTCTGCTTTATTTTCACTGTAGGAATCGGTTTCATTAAAAAAAAAATATTCTGAAAATCTAATATTATTGTATAACTTGGATGTTTGCCTACAAAACAGGATAATTGATGATTTTAAATCTTTTATCATTTTCTTCTGGGCCAATTCCTTAAGCTTTGTAACCTGAGCATATTCCTGAGTTTCTGTGTGAAAAATCTTTATTTATATTGCATTTTTATGATTTGTATCAGTACGTGTAGCAAAGAAACTACTACAAACCTTCAACTGAAGTACCTCCACTAAGGTCCAGGACACCTGATCTGGGCATTTGGAGTGCCAGATGCCCAGAGAAACAGTCCAGACATTTGTATTGAGTTGCTTTTCTGTGTATATAAAGGGTATTTATAATCTTGTATTAACAGAGTCATCATTGGAAATGCTGATTTCCTGCTTTAGAAGCCTGCTCAGCTATTTTTATATAAAACGTTGGTCTTCGCCTTAATTTTTTTTTTTTGGTAAAAAGTTGTGCCATAGATATTTTAACTTATCCACAGATCCTTTACAGAGTTTGCTTTGACTTCTCTTAATTAATTATTTTTTCCTCAAATTGTCCTAATTTGTTTTCTCTTCCAAATGCATCTCAAGATTGGTTTGCTTTCTTAATTTTTTTTTTTTTGGAAATTTTTGGAAGATCCCTTCATCTGCATGCTTTGGTAGCTCGAGTTTTTCCTCTGTAGTTTATTGTTTATAGTTTAGAAGAACCTTTTATTGAAACCCCTTGAAGTAATGCTTGTACAAATGTATTTAGGGTGGCCCAGATGGTCAGAGAAAAGGGCTATTTAGCATTGGTAAATTTGTCTACTGACTCAAGGATATTTTTCTACGTCTGTCAAGTTTGGGACTATGGAGAAATGAAATAAAAGTGAACTAACTCCTTTTCCTATATGAGCTTCTCCGTTTCTGTCTTTATTATGTAAATGTTCAGTTCTGTTCAGAGCAACAAGAATTAAATCCATGTCAGGGTTCAGCCCATATAAATTAATTTCTTATTTATGGAGTGGCTTTTCAGAATTAGAATTTTATACAGAACTTGGAGCCCTCTGTCCCAGGAGCAGTGAAATGTCCCTTCCCAAAAAACCCAGCACCGACCCAGCTCAGTTCACCCGAGGGCGTTGAGCTGTGGGGCTTTTTTAAAGCTGGTTTTAAGCTAAATGTGAGCTCTTTGTGCTCTTTTCATCCCATCCCTTGACATTCCCTAAATTAAAGATCTCCAGAGCTCAATCCCGTGGCCTCTGACCTCATCCCCAATGCACGTGGATGGGAACGGGACAGGTTTTGGAGCTGATGTTTGATGGCTTCAGGAGCAATCCTGGTGTGGAAGGAGCAGCCCGGGGGTGCCCGAGGGACAGGGACAGGGACAGGGACAGGAGTGAAACGGAATTGAAACTCAGGGATGCTGAAAGAGCCGGAGGGACCGCATGGAAACGGGATTTGCTGCGGGCTGCATCCCCTGGGGTCGGGCAGGGACACGGGAGCGAGGTGCGGGCGGATCCCGCAATTCCCGATCTCGAAATTACAGGCTCCCGAAATTACAGTCCCGCAATTCCCGGA